GCTGCTGCACGGGTACGGGAGCGAGCTTCCAAAGCATTCATTTGACACCATGAAAGTGCTTGTAATCGTTTGGGAACAAAGTCTACAGTTCAAAGAGTGAACCCCTGCCCTCCCTTGACGTCACTTTTTTTATTATTGCCACTAGAGACTTTCACTTTGAAAAACGCGAGACTATGAAGAAAACGCCGGGAGTACACCTTTAACGGCGGATGGATGGATAGATAGATGGATACGGCTCGTGCAAACAAAAGAAGCGAGCACAGAACAAGTTCATCGTTCCTTTACAGAAGGGATCAAGGTTCCATGATCAAACCCTTTTAGTGAGCCTCCCTGACTTGAAGATAGCCAAGGTCTTGCGCGAGTTCCATGAAGGGAAGTACGGTGCACACGTGGGCATAAGACTACAACTTTAGCTTGTCAAATATGGCCGAATACGGGACCCAAGTCTTTTAAGTATAGACCCCACCTACGTATGTGGGGACGGCGCACACTTCGATCGGGCCATCACCCAGCCACGCCCAGACGGCTGCGGATACAAGATGATTCCAATATGGCAGAATATTCCATCGAGGCGTTCCGGAACCTTGATGACCAAGCCAAGGATGCTGCCTACGAGTCGGTTGTCTGTGAAACAGTGATCTTAAAAACCGAAGTGGATCGCTGCGCCTACAGCTTTCAGAACTAATGCAGCGGACCAGGATACAAAACCGTGCCCTTTGGACGACCCCGTGAACGCGCAGCTTTAGGCTACTCAGGACTTGATCTGCAACCTGCTGGCCCTCTCATCGATTGTATAGACCGGCTGGAGACCAAAAGGCAGGACACCTCGTCGTTACTGAGTAACAGAGGAAGCCCAATGAAGATAAGCAGGACGTCCAAGTCAAGAAAACCGCAGACTCTGCAAACGCTTAGGACCGGCCGACTAAGTCGCTGACCAACATGGCCGTGAGCTCGATTCCTCGGTTGGGCAACGACGATATCGGCTGCTTTCACCAGGTGGACTTCTGGTTTCAGACATTCGAGGTCGCTTCAGACGCGCTGCCATTCCCTAGATTCTCTCCAAGCTCTCATCCAAAGACTTCACGTGGATGACAAACCAACTCAAGACGTAACGTGACGTAACAACATGGGAGCAAATCAAAGCCGCTTTCCGTCGTTGCTACGACCTGGGCAACAAAGTTGAGGCGAAACAGAAAATGTTCGGCTCAAGCCAGCGGTCGGGAGGGTCCTGGACAGACCTCGCGTCCCGAAAGCTGGGGCTGATTGACGATTGCAACTACCCAGAGACGGAGGCGGAGAAATGCAAGGTCATCCTGGCCACACTCTCCAATAAAGCACGAAAGCATTACGTCGACAAGAGCTTCGCTTCGTTAAATAAGTTGCTGAACTCTTTTCTCCGCTTCAAAAACGTGGTCTCTAGTCAACCAAAAATATCGGTTTTGGCCGTCGCTGGAGAATCCGTGCAAGCTGGACGGCTCACGAAGAAATCAAGTACCTTCGCTCCTTCGGCACAAGGCCGATCGCCGCCTCGTCGGATCACTGGCCGCGGCCAGCGTCAGCAGTCTCTGTGTGTGAGTGAAAAACGAGAGAAACAAGAAGTGCCACCTCCGCCCACTCCAAGCACGTGTCAGGTCTTTCGGAGGACTTCGTTCCGACACGATGAGGTCCGTTCACTGTGCCTCAATTGTAAAAAGCGGCCATTTCGACACGCAATGGTGCCAGGCACTCACCCCAGATTTTTTGGAGTGGCAACAGTGCTACCAGTCTGCCGCAGCACTGACGCATAGAAACGACAGCCTGATGTCTCTGACGCCTGCGAAGGGTCATCAGTAGTTGGGCGCATCCCTGTGGCGCTGCAGTGGACGCTAAAGCCATAGAAATTCAACTCAATAGGCAGCCTTTGACAGCCTTCTTGGATTCGAGGGCAATGAGGAGTCATGTTGACATTTTCTTGGTGGAGAAATGGAACGTTCGGATTGATTAATCTTCCGTCCACATGCGGGGAGCAAGTGGTCAATCTCTCACAAACCTCGGCCAGGTCACCGCCACTGTCACAGCTGACGGACAGACGTTTGACCAGGTTTTCATCATGGTATCTCATTTGGAGGCGGAAAAGTTGCTTCTCGAATACGATTTAATGACGGCGAGCGAAGCACTCATACACTGGGGCTCAAAGAGCTTCTCGATCCCACTGTCTGCAAAGTGTCCCAAGGTTGTACTTGCAACGGAGCGGCTGCTACCCTCCATGGTCCCGGAAACTTGTTCAGGTATTCCTGCGGAATGCTGTCCAAGACAAGGCCACAAGAATAGAGGTGATCGGCACGAAATTACTTTACGACCGCCATTTTCTCCTTGTTCAGCCCATGGTTGTGGATGAAGCTTCTCTTGACCAACCCATGCTATCGACCAGCGGTTCCGCCCCCTCCCCTCCCCTCCCCCCCCCCCCCCCCCCCCCCCCGTGTTACCTTCGGACTTGCTAGAGAGGCATCTAGTGTCGAGGACATCGAGCTTAGCGACGAAGAGACCGAGTCTATTTTACGTTGTTCAAGCCTGCCCTCCCCTGAGGATTTGGATCACCCGACTGCTCTGCACGTCGTTGTCCCTCGACACCAACCAGTATTAGTGGAGCGTGTCACGTTCAACATTGGCTTGACGCTAGCGCGGAGCCAACTAGGCCTGATTTGCGCGAACCAGCACTGACATTTGGCAACTGTCGCTTGGAACAGTATTTCATTCCTGCAGGCAGTGCGAGACCCATATATCAAAGTCCCCATTCGGGCGCCATGTGTGATAAGCTTAAGTTGTCGCCTTGATAACAAGCTCCGAGCCCAGGTAAAGAGGGCACTCTGACCACCTGCAGCGTACTTTCAGAATGAACTTTATTTTCTTTACCCGAGCGCAGAGTGCCCGTGGTGTTCCCGCCAAGGATGTCTTGAGTCTTCTGGGGTGGGGAGTCTGGGGACCAGGGGCTCACGCAGACTACTTTAGCTTGTCACAAATATATATACATGTGAGAAGTGTTCCAGGTCTACCCGATATAGATTGCGCCAGTGTGCTACTGTGTTAAGCGGTTAAAAGAGATACCAACGCTTTCGGTCGCAATCAAATGCAAATCTATATATGCACTAGCCTCAAGTGTCCACATCTGCAAACGCAAAGCTGCTGAAGCAAACGTACTTCCGGTTCGTAAAGACGGCTATATCGACGTCAATAGGGAGTTTTCGTTGACCGCGTTGCCCCCTCCGCTAAGCGTTCCGCAACGAAGAAGTTGCTACTGCGCCTGCGCACCGATAGCTTTGACTGTGGAGTTCCCGCTATCATAGCGGGTTGCGGAGGGCCTTGCGGGACGGCGAAAACGATCTACGAAAACTCCCTAATAGCAAGTGCAACGCACTTTTTGTTGTCCTAACGTTTTTTGGTTTTTTTTTTCACTTCTCCGCCAAGTGTGGCCCAAATAACCATTTCATTGGAACTATATACTACTCATCACATGGTAACAAGACACCTTCCTCGTTATCGAGCCCGCAATGGAACGCGTTACAATTAATCCCCATAGAAAACTGTCACCGAGTCAATGGCGTCGTGGGGCAACGTTGCACGACCCGCTCAATTCTCTATGTATTGAGGACGTGACAAAACTAACAACTGCGGATTTTCCATGCTATTATCAACGTGAAACTGTTTCGGTGTGGCCCTCGGTTCACACATGCATCCAAGTGCTGAGATAGTGCAAAGTCAGCGCTGCGCCAGTGCTGGTTTCAGTAGTATACTCGGTGCTGACCATAGCGTTGCATTGTTTCTGTAAGCAGGAAAAGGCCGCTTCACATGTAGCGGAGCTCTGACTGTTGACAATCGAGTCAGTGTTTGCCAACACCAGGTGTAGGACATGCGCGCGTGCGCAGAAACCAGATTCACGTGAGAGGAAGCGTCTGCGCATGCGCAGTACTGAGAGCAGCGCCACCACAGCGGCGTGACGTCAGAGAGTTGGGTTGGTGTATAGCACCGAGTTAGTGCTGTGCTGCATGTGTGAACAGACATCATCATCATCATACTATATACTATACTATATCTCTGACGTCACCAGTTGCGATCCGGCTGTACTTACCATCAGCCGCGAACAAAAAGTTCGCTTTTAGATGTGTAAAGAATATAAAGCCCGATGGAAGCTTGTATAAGTAACCGCCCGCTCGATGGCAATACCGTGGAAGTTGCTTTTCCGAAATATTGTTACTATTTTCATCGATAAAAGCAAAATTGATTCTACGAAAGACACGTCATAGTGAGCTCTTGGCCGATCGTGGAAAGCCGACCGTTGCGACGCTTTTGGTCACGCCCTTCGCCAATAAGACAGTGGACAGCTGTGCGCACTCCCAGGAAGTGCCTTCCCGTTCGTCCATTTTGATCTGGTGTTGTCTACCAGATACCTCGAATGAAGTCATTAAATGCCAGGTCTCGCCACTCGTATGAAACGGCCTAAAAATTCCCTTCGTCGTTTCTCTTTTTAGGCCGAATCCATTATATCCTCGTTCAAAAGTCTAACGCGTTCACGTACCTCCTCCATCACGGTTTAACAACTTCCAGTTGCAAGGAACCTTGTACTGTTTGTGGTACCTTTTTCGTGTCTACACTATGCGCAGAACAAGTCGTCTGCTTCTTGCGCAGGAGTTGCAGTGACGTCAGAAGGACGCCGAGCTCTGATTGGCTTTGATTGAAAGGATTGTGGGTAAACCTCATCGCTAGAAGCCTCAAAATCTGTACCCATTTTTTTCTCACTCAGCCAATAAGAGTTTAGTGTTCTGACACCGTAACCCCTGTGCAAAAAGCAGACGAATTTGAGCTCCGCATAGAGGAGACGCGCTGACGGCGACTCTCCATGGATTCACTATGGTGAAGTCGAGGGGAGGAAAGGTGCAGGTCTTGTCTTCTAGGTGGTATAGGCGTGGGGCCAAGCAACGGAAAGGGACGTCTTGCCACTCTCATTCTGTCAGTGACTGCACGGATCATGCAAAATCTGCCTGCTTGAATTCCTGTGCGGAAGGACCCTTTAATAGTCTCCGACGCGTGCGCTCACCGACGCAATAGGCCATGAAGCATCGTGGCAGCGGCTGTAGATAGTAGGCCATGTAGGTGCCGCAGTTCTGAACCCGGATGTTGGCGTAGTAGCGACACGCGTTCTCCTCTGTGGCCCCACAGGCGACGGCTGGCATGGGCTTGCTACGGTACTCCGGATGCTTTCCTGCGGGAAAACAGGCGATTAAATTAAATTAAGTCCACAAAAAAAAATAATTTACAGTGTTTTTCTTCCCGTAATAATAAACTACGCATGTACGAACGCTCAGTTTCGCGCTGAAATGTAACGCTAGCGTTCCAGACCGGATGCCAAAGTTTCACAGCTTGCAGTTATCTGATGCAAAAGTTATAAGCGATCTTCAAAAATTTTCGGTGGAAAGGTGGCGGCCGACGTTGCCCACGAATACATGAGAATGAATGGCCTCAGCTACAAGGAATGGCCCCGATTTCTTATTGAAAAATTCCGAAAATTGGAGAGCCTATAGGAGGGATTCACTGGACGCCATATTTGAGGGCGATGTTTAGAGCGCATGCTCAGAACGAGCTCACATTAATAGCCTATTAAGACCGGCAACCTTGATGGTGATGAATGCACGCTCCAAAAGGACTGCGGAAACTTGCCGTCAGCACGCGCTCAGCAGCAGCGCACACGGATATCGCCGCCAGTGAATACTCCCTAAAGGGAGTGTTCACTAGCGGCCATAGCTGAGTCCTAGGCTGCTGAGCGCGTGCCGAGGGCGGGCTTCCAAAGTTCTTTTGGGGCGTGCATTCGACACCACCAAGGTCGAAGGTCTAAGCAGTTTGTAAATGTGAGCTGGTTGTGAGCATGTGTTCATCAACAGCGCACTCAAATACGGCGTACAGTGAATGCATACACTATGCATGGTACGGTATATATAGCGCACTTACCGTAGAACCAGAAGGGAACCATTGTGTTGCACATGCCCGGGCTCACTGGGGTCTCGGGTATCCTGCTGCCATAGGGGCCTTCGAACCTGTACCAGGCTTGCGGCAGCTTGTTGTCGCACGTGCCGTTGGACTCGGACACCATGGGCTTCTGCATTGAGCGCTCGCTGCCCTGCAGCTTCACCACCAGCGGCTGGGCGCAGCGCGAGCTCTCTGCGCCGTACCAGGTGGCAACAGGGTGATCGTAACTCTCGCCGATCGAACCACAGAAGCGTCACTGGACACGTTAAAGGGGTACTCCGCCGATTTTTGAGCTACCTCAACTAACTATATTTTCTGACTCCCCGGCCTTTACCCTTTCTGGTATGCTATTTAGTATCGTGAAATTCATAATAGTTATTGCGAAATCGGCAAATGAAAATCATGCAAAAACAAACAATCAAATATACCCGCCCTTTTCAGGGCCGTGACGTCAGTGGAAGTGCACAGGGTGATCGTAACTCTCGCCGATCGAACCACAGAAGCGTCACTGGACACGTTAAAGGGGTACTCCGCCGATTTTTGAGCTACCTCAATTAACTATATTTTCTGACTCCCCGGCCTTTACCCTTTCTGGTATGCTATTTAGTATCGTGAAATTCATAATAGTTATTGCGGAATCGGCAAATGAAAATCATGCAAAAACAAACAATCAAATATACCCGCCCTTTTCAGGGCCGTGACGTCAGTGCTTGCCAGTCGGGCGAGCAGTCTAAAAAATAGAATATGCCAATCATTTGTTCCGTGATGGAGCGCGGGGACTGGAGCGAGCTTCCAAAGCATTCATTTGACACCATGAAACTGCTTCAAATCAGTTGGAAACAAACTCTACAGTCCAAAGAGTGAACCCCTGCACTTCCAATGACGTCACTTTTTCATTGTTGCCAGTAGAGACTTTCCGTTTGAAAAACACGGTGAGGACCAAAATTTTAAATTCAATAACTTCGTGAAAAAAAAAAATTATTTTGACCTAATATTTGGGATACTATTTTGGCGATGTTGTTTGGCGAGTTTAGCAAAATCTCAAGCAAATCGGGGACCATGAAGAAATCGGCGGAGTTCCCCTTTAACCCTCGAACACAGTTGTACTTACCAACAAAGTCTTCCCGCACCACTAAGAAAAGAGGATGGAATTAAGGTGCGAATGTTCCTCGCTTAGTACACGGCGCATTTTTAGGAAAAAGTTAGCAGTGACGGACTACATATATCTTTCTCAGGTAGTCAGGTGATTGATGTTACTGCCAATTAATTGACCAGTGTCCTGATTTCCCACTAACTGTTGAACCAACTAATCAATGGGACGAGGTTGTTACCGGAATCGGGCATAACGGCGAACATTTTCTCCACACCTAATTTTTTAGGATTCAGATCTAATACCTTCAATAATCAAAAAAAAAACAAAAAAAAAAACAGCGTGCGAAGTATTTTAGACCAAAACACAAGCTGTATTGCAAGCTTTTCTAAAATCCCATGCCGGGTGTTTGAGGGAAGGCTTTCAAAAATCGCTAAAAAGGGAGTAGCTGAAAAAACAAACAAAAAAAAACAGCTTTTTCGGGGAACAAACTACCAGCCGCGGCGGACGTCAGGAAGTGCAAAAACGTATAAATTATCTAAATATTTATTTACCAATTAACTTTTCAATTGCCGAAAATAAGCATATGGTTTCAATGAGAAAATTAGAAAGCATCATCGAAAGCCACTAAGCTCACTTTAGAAAGATATAAATCACAGGGCAGCATTTTACGGTGTTCCGGAAAAAAAAAAGAAAAGAATAACGCTTAATTTAGACGTTCTTCTAGGTTTCGGTTTGTTATCGGAGCACATCTTTGCGCCAGCGATCCTATTCTCAGTGTCCGAGGCGACAACACACGTGCACCATACTTTCCTCCAACGTATACGAGGCAGGCGAGGCGGTGGCCTCACGCCACGGCCACCGGGGAGCAGGACCGCTGTCGCAAAGACGCTCTCCAATAAGAAACCTAAACCTAAAAACGGATCCAAACTGACACGCCGCAAAATGCTGCTCATGCCTCATATCTTCCTAAATTAGTTGATTTAGTTTCTTTTTTTTTTTTCCTTAAATGCTTAGCAAGTTTATCGTTTAACCCTGTTTATTTTCACCAATTAAAAAGTAAATCAGTAAGGTTTTGTTAATTATTCAGATAATTAGCATGTTTCTTTTTTTTTTCAATCTTTGACATTCGCAGTGACTGGAAAATCGTTCTCAGAAAAACTTTTTTTTTCTCAATCACACCCTTTTTTATGTATTTTCAAAAGCCTTCACAGAAGTGTACCAAATTGCTTTTCGCTGAAAAAAAATTTATCTTCCGGTGCTTTGCATCTGTTTTTCATTGTCGCGCTTCCCAAAAAGTAAAATACTGCGTTGTATCATTTAATAATTATGCCTTTATTTTCCACCCGAGCGATGTGGGAGGTGGGGGAAAAAAAAGCTGAATAAATCAGCTTGACGAGCTCCCTCCTCGCTGTCTGTTTGGATCAAATAAATATTTCAATTTAAATATCACTGATCCCACACTTCTATTTTTTTAATAGTACTTTTAGTACCTGGCAAACTGGCGTCCGTAAAACGTGGTATCATTTTCTATCCGTCCTCTATTTTTGCCTCAAATAAACCAATAAATTAAACAAAATAATTTCCTTGCAACGCACTGTTTCTGCATCGCCAAGGCTTTACAAATCTCAACAATTAAGTTTCGCAAATGTTTAGTATTACATATAGGTGATTTCGCAATAGTTCATAGTTAAAGGGAAACTGAAGCGGTTCTGTATTTGAGCACTAACACCTAAATCGTCTTCATTTGGCCTCCATGATCACGAATGGCGAGATTATTTTTCAATTTGGTGCACGGATGCTGCAGAAATTAATTTTTAAAGTACCGCGGAAACCCCTCCTTCCCGGGGCGTGACGTCATCTTAGAAGTTTTCGGAATTTCTGCTCTCGCGCATCTTCAGCGCCTGTCGAAACTATGCACGCGCACTCTTGCTATTTTTTTATAAAGGTCAGAAATAGACGTCACGACTGGTACCAGTTCGGAAAAATATACCTGGCAAGCTTGCACTTGCACGCGCTGCCCACACGAGAGACACGCGCTTGGCGGCCCAAAGATCCTACTGTGACGTCACGACTGATCGGTTTTTCGTGTTTTCTCGCGTTTAGTGACATCTTCAAGGAAAACCGAACGTGATATTCAGATTCACGGGATAAAAATACGCCAGAAATCACCTCTAACTCGTTTTTTCCAAGATGTGTTTCAGCTTCCCTTTAAATGAGCCTTTATATTAAACCGGTTGATGTATGAACTACACGCCCCGATTAATCGGTTAAAAATTTTTAATCGGTACAGGGACCTATGTTACACATTAGGTTACGGAGAACTTGGTTAGAGTGTCAGAGACGGTTGAGCCCGTTCAGTGCTCATCCCGTCGTGACAGTCCCCCGGTTTTGTGTTTATATGGAGGTACCTGACTGACGAAAGAAATGTAGCGCTGTATACGGTGCGTAAGTTCTTCCGCTCTTTGTGCACCTCTCGCGTTCGTTTACCGGCCAAATGCGCCTACCTGCTTTTGTTTCCCCTGAATTTCAACCGATGAAGACGCTCGCTTGGATGCTTTGTCATCGCGCGTTCACTGGGCGTTCTCTATGTTACCATTTGATTGGCGTGCCCCTTCTTACTTTCCGACGTGCCAAAGACACGTTTTCGAACGGTTGCTCGCCGTATATCTATAGACCTTTTCTGCAAGTGTGCCGCCATCTTGAATTGACGTCACTTCCAGTATGGGCGAAAACATTGTGTTGCCTTTGCCACGCCAATAGAATTCATATAGGAGATAAGCGTAACCGTCACCTATTATCGTTTTGCTTCCCCCTTATTTTTTTACTAGTTACAGGTTAAAACATTTTAGTATTTTTTCATCGCCCATACCGGATACGCCTATTAGGTGGCTGGGGACGAGATTACACAGAAAAGGTCTATAGACAGACGTCTGCGAGTTGCCGCCATGTTTCAACGTGCATAAAATCGTGACTCACTGTTGTGAAACAGGAAGAGGAGAAAGGCTATCAGCAATCCGCAAAATGCCATGCACATCAGGAAGACCGCGATGAAGGCCCCCATTTCTGACCCGTCCGTCTTGCGCCTGTGCTCGCATATTGATACACGATGCATGGTATCGGTATTTGATGTGACTCTGATTTGCTTAATTATTTTGTTATCCTCATTAGAGCCACATAAATTGCGTCGGTCAACTTTCTCATCAGAGAAGAGGCGACACCAGAAGAGCGATTCAACTGTACTCAAAAGGTACACAGCTTACTGACAAACACGATTTTTGTTCTTCAGCGGTTCGCCACTTTCAGGAGCACTGAACGCTCAAGAAACATTTTAAAGTCGCTTAGTAGCGTATCTGCCAAGGTGCACTTTCCCCCGAAGAATGTTTTACCACAATATTTTCGGCGCAAGACACATTTTGAGTTGGTTCTAATTCGGAAACCTGCTTCTATATTTTTTTTAGGAAATCGAAGTATATTTCGGAATTGCTTCAATGAGTCTCAAGGCGGAAATATATTGCGCTAGGCTTTTTTAAATCTTTTTGGGGGGAAGAGTTTATTCTGTGACGTATACCGCGGCAGGCAATTAAAGAGTGTTTCTTGAGAGTTTAGGGTCCCTTCGTCAAAAGGAGTTTTTTCTTGAAAATATATTATTTTGCGTCTGTGTCCTGTTTGAGCTTGCTGTAACCAAAGGGGACGTGTGGCGATTGCGAGGGCAAGAGCAGTCCCGCAATGCAAGCCTACAGGACGCAGAAGCCGCGTCACCCCGACATGGGGCTAGGAGAACAAAATGCTAATAAGAACGGTCGGATTGAGCATTTTATTACAATGTGCAAACCAGTGGTTCTCAAAACCGGGGTCCGGGGACCCTTTGGGGTCTCTAAAGGCCTTCTTGAGGTACCATAATCGCTCGACCGTCAATCAATCCGAGCAATATATTTTTTTTTTTTTTTTAAATTGATGCTGACTGTCCAACAAGGCTAGACAAGCCAGACATCGTTCACCAAGCGAGGAGAGTTCATTACTCTCCGCTACAGAACTTTAAATTGGTTTTGCATGCATTTAATTTTCTTTATCTACCATATCCTGTCATTGTAATCGCCCCGCCCCCCCCCCCCCCCTTCCCCCTTTTCTTTTGCCACGGTGAATTGGGTCGCCCATCACTTCTGCCGATTACGAAGGGATCCCCGAAACATCAGTGGTTGAGAACCACTGCTCTGGATGAATTATTCGGTCGTAAATGGGACCACCTTTGTTTCATTGATTGTCGACTTTTAAAGAATTAACTGGCTTTTGCTATTATAGAGTACACAAATAGAGGTAGCGCAAAACACGAGGACAGGTAGAATAACGCGCAGACAGTACCATTATTTGTGCGATGTAATAAAGGTACCGCTACCTTTATTTGTGTAATGTGTAACCAACTAGCCCGTTTTACGACGTTAGGGCTACGTATTACGGAACTGCTTCCACCCTCCATGAAATGTGGGACCCGCTCTCGGCCGCTGGGAAGAGCAGGGGATCGCCACGCCTCCCCTTCTAGCCCACAATACCCATGGAGAGAGGAATAAGAGCAGGTGAAACATACACCGACTCAAGCGAGCAAGCGAGGAAATCCCAAGTAAAAGTCGCGTTCGGTGGGAATGCTTTCAAGGGTGCCAAGGACGCCCAATAGCGTCCAAGGGTGCGCAAATCCGTCCAATAGCATCTTTTGACTTTCGTTGGGGGTGTGTTATGTCGCCTTCAGAAGCTTCCTATACCTCCATGACAAAACCACTGACCCCGTAAGTGTGACGTCACCGCTCCAAACAAACCGTTGCTAGGGGCGTTGTTATGGACAAATACATGGGACTGGATTCCGCTCCGAAAGAACGATCGGTTTAAAGTCGGACGTGGAATTGAAACCTTTACAAATAATAGATAAAGGAAGCCTAGATTTCACACTTACCACGACAGACGTTTGCCGAGAATCGGCTGTTTCTGAAATATTTTCGACGGCAAATGCCAGCAAGGAATCTAATTGAATTTCTTGCTGGAAACCTGAAACCCAGCTATATTTTCTGTTCCATAATCCAGTTTATACTGTTTTTTTTCAGTAAGGCGGGCACTCATTGCTTCCGAGATCCCACAGAAAGTTGACCTTGAGGTCCGAGATCCCACAGAAAGTTGACCCCGAGGATAGAAGTTTCGTCGATCGACACCAACCTCATTCAACGCGGTCGTGTACTCCCTCCGAAAGAACCACGTTGAACCCGCGAAGCCATTGTGTCGTCTGCTAGCAAGGCAAATCCAGTTGTGAAACTTTACTACGGGCTTTTTTCATCGCTTTATGGTACTGAGACGATAAAAAAAAGTCTTAATGATTAGATCGTGACAAGTCACAATGCTTAAAACAAAATATTTACTTTTTTATCAGACAATTTTTAACCTCCCGTCGAGCCCCTATGCATTTGTCCATAACAACGGCCCTAGCAACAGTTTGTTTGGAGCGGAGCGCCATGTTGTGACGTCATCACTTACGGGGTCAATTGGCCAACCGTTGACAGAGGGTGATTGAGGGAAATTGGTAGATAGATGAATGGGTGGATGAATGCGGCGAAACCCCTTGAATTAGGCAGCGGCTTGCGCCACCTAGCCAGTGTTTAAACTTCCACAGCCAAGCAGGACGTCACCTACCGGGGGGTGCTTTCGTAACCGGTACCTGTAAAGAGAAGGCGGCTGGTAACACCAAGAGTAAAATATATATTAAAAAATGTACACCCCTGGACATAAAAACGAGAACAGACAGGTCAACTGCCATCGTGTCCCAAATTTACTACGCACCTCCAGCGTGTAATTAGGTATTCGTGCATAGAGACCCGTTTAAAATTTTATGCTCTTGGAGCGTATCCCAGGAAGCTCTGGTGACGATATATTAAGTCCCCAATAACAAATTTTATCACGAAACACTTTGTACAGTCAGCGGCAATATGAGCTGGTCCAGACTGTAGTGCTGGCCGAAAGGCGCAGCACTATAAATTATTATTAGAGTTTTCACAACTGAGGCAACTAAAAAATATATTTTAATTTAATTTAATGCCAAATATGTTACTAAATGTGTCTAAGTTGAAAACAAAAATTCAATGCAGCAGAACTCAACGAATAAAAAGGAAAGAAACAGCAAATCTTTTTTGGTTTATTGTTTCCTGCCGATGCATTCTTTTACCAACATGTTCCTGCACAAATTTAGAGCCCTGCGATTTTGTTTTTTCGACCTTTGTGAGTTGCAGGATTTTTGCCTTGCGTAACCATCTTCACTTAAAAAAATATCTTTTTACTGAAACTTTTTTGCGTTGACAGAATTCGGAAATAATTAGAATAATTTCTGTTTAATCTTTAGGCGAGCAATTTTCTCTTGAAATATTTTTTCCACCAGAAGGAGAGGCACAACGGCACACGCGCGTCGGATCTCCTGCAAGAACGACGGTCACTTCACGCAATGCTTGGATAGAAAATGGCGTACCATTGAGATTCACACGATTACCTGCGACCCGCGCTTCCCCGTGCCCCGTTGTTCGGCAGCGCCACGACTTCATTGTGAATTTTACAAAAGTCTAAAATGCGGGACATTTTGAAGAATTTGGCATTTCTCGCGGGACACGGGACATGAGCTTTCAATGGGGGACAGCTCCGCGAATCGTGGGACGGGTGGTCATACAGCTAGCGCCTCGCGTCACTGCCTCGCCGACGTCGCTCTCTGTCGAGCATCTTGACTTTAATGGGGCCATAATTTCACAAATCCGGGTCATAACTTTGTTCGGACTAGGCCAAATAGGCACTCGGGACTCTGTATGAAAACTAGGTGCAGTCCCACAAAATCCGGGACAGACGGGAACTCTACAAGGCAGGGATTGTTCGATATTGTGACTTCGCAACGCTACGCGGGAGTCATTTTTCTGCACGGCGATCAATTAAATTGCTCCCAGGCAAAGAGAAGCGTGCAATTTCTTTCCTTGACTGATTCTTTTTCTATTGCCTTATTGCTGCAATAGAGCTCCAGATGTGTGACGCTGAAAAAGGGTTCGCTTTTATCCCGCTTGTGATCAAGACGCCGAATATGGCTGCCCAAATAGCCCTCGCGAATACAGAATATTTTGTGGAGACCTACAACAGGCGGACATTCAACTCAGAAAGTACACTGCGAAAAGAGTGATTAAATTTGCGGCGTTGCCCCTCCGGTACCGGCAAGATAGAAACATGAAAGTACAAACCATAGTTCATTGTCCTGGTTGCGCCGGTTCTGATGGCAGTGCCAGATGCTTCTTCTTCTTCTTCTTTATCTTCTACTTCTGCTAAGCACGTTTCTTTTTGTTTTTTTGATAACGGTGCTACCTATTGCTTTAGCTATGTTGGCTCCGACCGGTTAAGGGCCGTTCCGGAAAAGAACGCGAACTCATCTGACCTTTAGCGGGAATGATCTCACGCCCCATAGGAGGGCATGCAAAGCGGATGGCAAAGCTGGTGCGGGGGAAAACTTGGCATGCGTCGGTGGTGGTCATGTTTTCTGTTGAAACCGTTAAATGGATACTGAACCAAACGTTTTACTGTCCTTAATGAGTGGCGTACGATCTTTCCACGAGCTAGCAGTCGCCGGTCTGTGCGAGAAAAGCAACGAAATTGTCGTGATAGGCCTTAAGGTGACAGTGAAAAGTATCGTACCCGTGAAAAAGGAGAATAAAGACAGGCGTTTTACACCCGCAAGTCAAAGCTATACGCGCAAGCTAGACGAATTGATCGCCTACCTTTTACACCAGACCCCACTGTGGAGATGAAAAGCCTGTCTGTAATCTCCTTTTCCCCGGAGTCCACACATTTCACTGTCATCTTAAAGGGCAACTCCGCTTCATTTTTTTTTTTGTTATATTTAGAGCACTATGCAGTCCTCTTCAGTGTCATATAGGAAGACCCCATGTCAAATATTACAATCAAATTCTGTCTATATATTTAATAAACTGGCCAACAAACTTTCAAATGAGCCAAGCAGCCGAAGTCTGCCAACTCTAGCCTGCGACGTGAGGCGCAATCGTCAGCGCAGTCAATGCGACGGAGCTGGAGCGGCCAACGTTTAGCCACTACGTCAGACTCGTGTCTACGTCATTCTCACGTCGTGTTCGTTTTTACTTCTCAGAGCGAAATTGAACGATGACGTCATGAGTTTCTCCTCCCGGTGTTGGCTGAACGGCGTCCACGTGATCACCGCAACGCGGACGCGCTAGTTTGCGCTGCCCTGCGCGCTGTCTGGCGAGACGGTGAGACAGCGTTCCTGACGCCCGACCCCTTTTCTATCTCTATCCTTACCCCACTCACCCCCACTACTCTCCCCTCACCCTACCCCAAGAGTCAGTGACAAATGAGCCTCGTGCGCGTACAATATTGACTCTATTTTCTATCCACAATTTCATTTCAACGCTTACAACAACAACCCTGCGCGCTTATCAGTCTGTTTCTCCACTCCCTTCTCTCCTCTTTCGTCTTCTCTCCTCCTTCCTCCCCCCCAGACCATCACCGTCCACGCCATGCGAAGCGAGCTACCCGCGTCGCGTGTCCTGTACCTCGCCCCCACGAACGTCACAAGACCACGTGGTTCGACGTGACGTGGCCATGACTCTGACGACACGAGACCAATGTTGCCTGACGCAACCGAAGTTTCGGTTTCGGTATCTGCTGGTGTTTAAATTAAGATTACACAAATAATATTCCACATTTCGCGAATCCGAAGACGTAGAGCTGTTTAGTAGTGCTTTGTGAAATGGAATCACATGTAAGCCTAAATTTTTCGGAATTGAGCGGAGTTGCCCTTGAAGCGTGAAGGGGGAACTATGGCGTCCTTTTCGTTGCGTGTGCTCGAGCACACCGGCGGCTGCTGGCACGTGGAAAGATCGTACGCCACTGATTATGGACACTGAGGGTCCTGTTGCTTATACATCATCCAATTTTGTAAATATGGTATTGCTCAAAGTTTTTATTGGAGGTATGATTTGTATAGTTTTGTTAAATGTTGTTTCTTTCTGCCACCTCCCGCAGGCCAGCAGTATGTATAAATAACGAATAATAATAATACAGAAGACAGTCTCCATACAGGTTTGAACGCGAGTAACCGCGAGATTCCTGCTTTGAATGTCGCATAGCAATGAGTTGAAGGAAAAAAAATTAAAATTAAAACCGTTTACAACTTTCTGTAACGCCGAATTAGAGCGCAGCTCTTGAGGAGGAGGAGGGGAAGGGTACTGAGGGGAAGGTATACTCTCCTTCCTGCTCCTCACCTCCTCATCCTGTCTGCTAATCCTCCCTCCGAGCGGCGTCGCCGTCGCCTCACGAGGGTCACGTGACCTCACGGGGGTCACGTGACCGCTATGAGGTTACGTGACGATGACGTGATCATCACTAGTGACGTCATCAGTGACGATGCCGATGCGAATGCCGATGACGTCATCAGTGACGATGACGTGGCGAATATCGGTGACGTCATCAGTGACGTCACGCGTCCTATAATCCACCGCGCGGTTACGCCGACGGCGACGCCGACGGGCGCCTTTGAGCTGCGCTCTAAAGTTTGGAAAGCGGGCTTCGAACCACGGATATTGCGGTGAGTCGTGTTTGCAGACTGTCGTTTGTATGATGTATGAGCAGTGTGGACCCTGGCTTTACGCATTCGTGTTCTCACTACTGCCTGAAGTTTCTTCTTTTCACAGCCTGCATACTGTACGGGCCAAACGATCGTTCCACATAAGGTGATAGATGTGTAAGACGCTACCCTAAAATTCTTAGACACGCGACTTGCCGTGTAGTAGTAGTTTTGGGCGGGGTACCTCGTATGCTCGATGACTGATATGCCGAAAGGCAGGACCTAACGCGAGAACGAAAGTGCGCTACCAATGTTCAGACCTATATAGCGTGCGGATATGCGCTTGATCCGCTTGTGGGCGGTAGTGAGAGGCGTCCAATCCAAACGTCGAATTATGCGTTTTCATAGTAAGACACGTGCTCGCACCGTCGCACGTCCTGGCAGAATTATTAGGCAGAACAAATGACACCGCGCAACATAGAGACAAGCGCAAAATCGAATACGTGAAATTCGCAGTATTTGTGAATTGGAAAATCTGAAAGTTTCCCAAAGTCAAAACAAAGCAGGCAGACAAATTTCTTTGCAACAGTAGATTTTTTTTGTTGTGAAAATATATTTATGAACGCGTGGTAGTCTTCTAAATTTATGACAGTAGCAAGTTTATACAAACATTGCTGTCCCCGCACAAGAAATTCACCAGGGCATGAGGCCCAGAGTCACAATGGCGATAACACCGAAGAATAGTCGGTCGAGTGCTTGAGCCAAAAGTAACCAGTTACGCTTATTTCCGCCTTCGACCCGTCTTCTAGGGAAAACTTCATCTTCTGACCGCGGTTGTGGTTGATAGGTCCACAGGCAGTCTTCGTCTAAGCAGAGCAGACCGCCTGTCGGACCGGTCAAGAACTGGACAATACGTTCGGGTATCTTGACTGGTGACGACGCCATGTTGAGGATGAAGATGGCAAAGATGGCGACCATCGCCTGGATGACCACGGCGTTACCCAAGAAAAATACTGCAATAAAAATATTTTAAATGGTTCAACCCTCCAGTAATGGTTCCTTGAATCTGATATATATATTCATATTCCGGGTTTGCGTTTGGACTGTTGATCCGATCGGCCATTGTTCACCATACTATTTGTACAAATTAATTTTTTTTTTTTGTTTCATGACTAGCAGTTTTAAAAACACTCTTCTTTAATCTATAGTAATAATAAACAAAGCCCTTAAAGGGATGCTGAACCAAACATTTCAGTGCCCATAATAAGTGGCGCACAATGTTTCCAGGAGCCAGCAGCCGCCGGTGTGCACGAGCACACGGAACGAAATTGACGTCATAGTCCACCATTCACGCTTAAGATGGCAATGAAATGTGTGGGCTCCGGGGAAAAGAATAATAAAGGCACACTTTTTTTTTATCTTCAAAGCAGGGTCTGGTGTCAAATGTATACGCTTCTGATTGGTATAAATATCACGTAGCTTTCACTTGTAGAGATGAAAAGCCTGTCTTTATTCTTCGTTTGCCCGGAGCCCATACATTTCACTGTCATCTTAAAGGGGCAATGACACGTTAAAATTATATTTCTTTTATTATCCGAAACGATTGAAAACGATGCCTAGACATTACCATCCAATTCGAAACTTGGGAATTCAACATTTGTGAACTAAGGAAACAAACTTCCAAATGCCGAATTCAAAATTCCCGCGCGATCCGCGCCAGTCGAGTGACGTCAAATATTGAGCCGTCTTGCGAGTCGTATTTCTCCGACGCCTCCGAACCGCCGCCACTCGAAGTGTCGTGTTCGCCGGCGTCTAGCGAACAATCGGTTTCCTCCGTGCGTGACGCCTGTCGCTGCGAGCAGGCGACGCTTAGCGACGCTTGACTTTCGAGTTTGAAATAGGGAGGCTGTAGTGAGGGTGGGCGCAACTCAAAACCTGGAGAGCGTTTGCAATTTAATGGCGGCGCCTGAGGGAGAGGATTCGAGAGAGGATATGCGCCAGTGTTGCCTGCACAAGAGCAGGCGCCCGCTCTGTTGCAACTCTGTTGCTCCATGCGCCTTTCCTCCTCTCACCTCCCATTGCAAGCAACGAACGCCTTGGCGCAGCCTCTCTCGCTTCCTTCTCGCTCCGAGAATTGCAAACGTCGAGCGGAGAAAGCAAAGTTGCCAGACAAGCAGCAACGTCCAAGATGGCGGAATTTACCATTTTTCGCGTTAAAAAAATACTTAACCTATCGCAACAAAACTGGTGGCTATGGAAAAGTAATCATTTATACCTTGTGTAAATTATTCAAGCACCTTAATGGGCTCTTATGAGCGGAGTTAAGAAAGAAAACGACCCTTTGCCCCATAGACTCCCAGCAAAATTTAGCAATTAGATGGCGTCCATGTCCCGTGATCGCCGATCTAGCAGTTGCACCCACCCTCACTTGAGCCTCCCTAGTTTGAAGTTATTTTAGGGCCCTTTCAGGCGATTTGAAATTCCTTGAAACGGTGTGAGGTCGAAGAGAACGCGCAGTGGACCTTTGTGAGCGACGTGAGGGACCACGTCGCGCCGGTTCTGCGTGAAAGGTTGCCCCGGTAGAGTCACAACCGAAACTACCATGCAGACACCAAACCCAGTTGTTTTGACCGTATGACGCTTTCCTTTTCGAAGTCTGAGAAGTCGTCGGGCACCTAAAAAAGACCATTTCGTCCGAATCCCCGACTCACCGGTCATCCTCTGCTACATGCGTCGAGGGCCGCCATGTTTTCCGGGGGAGGGTAAAAAGTCAGTAGGTGACAAAACACCGGACTCTGATTTTCGGTATTTCAAAAAGAAGAGCCGTAGTGCGTTCGTAATTGCGTTGAAAAACATGTTTTACGAATGCCGTCAATAAATGTTATAGAAATGGCGCTTACAAAGCTTCTAAATTTCATAATATTTGACGTCACAAATCGAAAGAAGCGAGGAGGTGAGGACCGGGAGCGAAAAACGCCAAAAATAAAAAGGCGCGCGCGAGCCTAAAAAGTTTTCTTTCTTTTCGCTTTGCGGTATATTTTTCCCCGTGTCTACGACTACAATTTGCATCGTTTTAGACAAAAAAAAAAAAAAAAAAAAAAAAAAAAAAAACTACAACAAAAAATACAATTCTGGGGGTGTCAGTTTTTTTTTAAGCGTGAATGGGGGACTATGACGTCAATTTCGTTATATGTGCTCGCGCATATTGGCGGCTGATGGAAATATCGTGCGCCACTTATTATGGACACTGAAATGTTTGGTTCAGTATTCCTCTGGCAACCCCACAAATAGCACTTTCGTGGAACGTTTTCGAGATACTTTACAAAACAGTTCAATCGTTAGCGAATGAACTTCGCTATTAATGAACTGCGTCATAACTTTTCTGAATGTAATGATGCCATAATGCAAGGGTGTAAACGGAATGTAAGTTACGCTTATAAAAAAAAAAAAAACTAAACAAATATATTAACGTCATGTATGCTCCTTTAAAAGTACATCCTTCACTTCTCGACATATCCGCCCATGAGCGACACTTATCGAAACTTCTGATTAACATTTCCATACACCTGCAGAGAAAAGTTATCTCAAATTGTATGCAACCAGCTTAGGACATCAGATTTCATAAGGAATTAATAAAACAACTCAAGTGGCATGTCGCCTAAAGGCTCAACCTACACGGTGGGTGGACAATAAAAAAGAAGTGCTCAGTGGACAGCGTTTTTAAGCCGTAAGGTTGCGAGAACAGACTGCGATCCTGAACTGCTTGCAGAAAACCGGAAATGACTTTTTCCGCGCGGGTATAAGAAAAAAAAATCATCCATCTGCACATTATAGTTGTTAGATCCATCCGGCTCCCACCGTGACCTCCCCATACCATTCGCCTTGGCCATCGAAAACTTTCGTTTTGGCCATCGAAAACTAACTTACCGATTTTCGGAACGGTCGCTGATCTGTCGAGTAGCGTGCCCATTCTGCCGAGCATCACCGCGAGTAAGAACAAGTTGACGCAGGCCAGCCACAGTCTGCGGTCCGAGTCGACGGACATCCAGAAGCCCAGAAGCATCAGGACGACAGCAGCAACCCACGGAAGAGTGACCGTGTACAGATGGTGGCTGGCCCGTCTCCTCATCTCGATGACCATGTCCGCGTAGCTCCTGTTGAGGGCGACCCCATGCGATGGCTCCAGGGCCTTCGCATCCCACTCTGAACTAAACTCCTCAGGAAGGTAGAACCTGAACCCGATGGTCCTGACCTCGCTCTCCAGGTAGGTCGAAGAAGAGAAGCGGACACTGCACACGTGGCGGTCGTGTGGATAGTGGGCTAGGTCCATGACGCAGGGAACTTTGATCCGAGCCGGGTGACAGTCCCAAAGGCTGCCGTTGTGGTCTAGGTACGCTGTGTCGCGTGCCAAGACGTAATCGTTGGAGTTCCTGCGGGAAGGCGTGTTGTCTCACTCGATGTGGGCGAAATTCCTGAGGATCAGGACAAATGTCATGCGTCAAACTGCGGCAGCTGGAATCAACCCATCTGTAACATGTACACATATAGTATATGGCGATGTTCACGTCCAACTTATCACCGGTTCTGTGTTGTCGGTAAATGCCGATAAACCCCGACAATTAACCCAGAGTTGGCTTTCTCGAGGCCGGTGGAAACCAAAAAAATTAGGCTTTGATTTGTCCTTGGAAAGAAAAACCAAAGCTTCGCGGAAGAAGCGGAAAGAAATGCAAGTAATCCTCGCTTTTTGAGGACCCCTTGGTGGGATCCGGACATTTCGGCGTAGGACGTTTCGGTGTTGGGCCTTTCTGTGCGGTCTTTTCGTTGCATAAACTTTTCGGTGCAAGGACTTTTCGGTGCACGGACATTTCGGTGCAGAGACTTTTCGGTGTGAGACTTTGTGCGGTCTTTTCGGTGCTCGTACTTTTCGGTGCACGGACATTTCGTTGCACGGACTTTTCGGTGTGAGAGTTTTCGGTGCACGGACATTTCGGTGCACGGACTTTTCGCTGCACGGACATTTCGGTGCACGGTCAATCGAAATCGCGTTTTTTTTTTTTTTTGCCATCTTTAAAAGTAATAAGCACTATTTTAGCCCCCAAAATTGTTTTGTTATGTCCTTTCTAATTTTGTAGACTTGGTCATCCATTTACTTTCACTGAACGATATACGTCCTAAGTGACACTGTTAGGCGCAGCACCAACCTGCGGGAGGACGGGAGTCGTTGGACGCTATATTTCGTTTGCCAGTGTCTCTTTTCCAACGTACGCACTAGACGTGTTTACGCGTTTTTACGCGTCGGGTCGATACAGGCGTTCTCGGCGTCTCCTGTGACGCTATTGACATTATTATTGGTAATCCTGCGTAGTAAAGGCCCCAACAGCAAGAAGCTTAAGGAGGTTGAACCTTACCCGACACTGTGGTAACAGATGAGAAGCTTCGTGGAACTTTGAGACGTCCTTCTTCTCGTGTCCTTCTTCCACGACGTTTCCCATCTTTTAGCACAGTCTCGGATAATTTTGATGTGTTTTATGTCTTGATTTATATTACAAACCTTGCCACGCGTGACGGATACGAAGAACTTTAATTTCTCCTGTCAGGTCTTCTAGACAATCGATGTTATACGATTTTGCGGTGGACGCACCTGTGAAGATATTCCAAATTGTTCTGAGCTATCACACATGAGCAACTTCTCCAGCTTTACGAAAAAAACGTGAGTGTGCAGGCGAGCTGGTGGACGTTGATCATGTTGAAAATAAACTGAGACTGTGGTAAAAGACGGGAAACTTTGTGGGAGAAAAAAGACACAGGAAGAAGGTATCAAAGTTCAGCGAAATTTCTTAGCTTTTACTCGGGTAATTTTCAACATTCCCCTGCTTCTTGCTGCAAGGGCCTTTCCTACAAGAATTACCAATAATAAAGCCAATACCTTTACAGAAGACGCCAAGAACGCCTCTATCAAACCAACGCGTAAACACGATGTGATGGGTGTAGTGCGTATACGTTGGAAAAATACGCCGACAAACGAACCATAACGTCCAACGTCTCCAATTTGCACGCAGGATGGTACTGTGTGAGTAAATGGGCGACCAAGTCTACAAAACTATAAAGTGAGAAAAAAAAATTAATTTCTAGCTAAAAAACAATAACCGCACCTCCACGTAGTGAATGATGGCGATTGGGGCGAAGCTCTGGTGGTGCTTGTCTGCGTAGACGGTGAGCCGCAGCATGCCGAGCCTTTCGTTTGTTTGCATCCATGTCAGGAAGAGAATGTGTGGTATGGAACGTGGTTATACACGCATTTGACCATTTGACCGCAGCGCCCTCTTGTCTATATACATTGAGCCAATGCCTGCAAAGTTTAACGCAATTATATGCGCATTTGACCGCAGCGCCCTCTCCTGTATAGACGTTGAGCGGCTACATGCAACTTTCATCCATAATATCCCCAGTTCTCAAGTCACTACCACATCTCAGAGCCCCCGTACTCGTCCCGCAGTCATGGCCGAGTAGTTAAGGCGATGGACTAGAAATCCATTGGGGTTTGTTCGCACAAATTCGAATCCTGTCGACTACGCAAACATTTTTTTATCAGTTTTTATTTTTTTTTTTTTGTTCTACACGAGCACGTGAGCACGTGAGCTCACGAGCACGAGCACCACCAAGATCGATGTGAGCACGGATGCCGGACGGACAAGGCTACACCCTAAGGAGCTTGGCTCCTAAAACGTTGCTTATTACGTTTAGAGAAAACTAAAAAAAACTCGTGATTTTGATTGAACGTGCACGGAAATGCCCGTGCACCGAAAAGCCGTACACCGGAAAGTGCTTGCGCCGGAAAGTCCGCACCGAAACGTCCTACACCGAAACGCACTACACCGAAATGTCCTAGAGTCTAGACCCTTACCTAGGTTCTGGAGGCGAATACAAGTCTTGGCGATGGTTCGTTTTCGCGCGATTCGGACTTTTGCCGAAGCAAAGCCTGATTTACATGGTGCGATTTTGCTTTTTCGCAGAAAAGTATTTTTCCCGCACAAGCGACGTCGCAACTGCAAAGTCGCGAGTAAACACGCACTGTGTGAATCAGGCAACAGGTGATCGCGCCGGTGAACTGTGTTTCGTTGTACTCACAGTGGAATAATCTTAGGAATATTCAAATTTAATGCTACCCCCCCCCCCCCCCCCCCCTCTAATTTGTTCTTTCTTTGTTGCTCGAGTTAGTGGTGTTGAAGTTTTTACGTACGCGTTGATGGGTGTGACGTCCGGGAACCAGGCTTCGCTCTGAGAGACGATTATGTACTCCACGCCACCATTGTCTTCTTTGTCCCACACCAGGGCGTCATCCTGCCAGTTCTGTATGCAGTAGGACGCGCATGCGCAATTGGTTCACACATTTTGCGACACAGGCTCGCACCCCCCCCCCCCCTTTTTTCTTCCTCTTTGTGACAGCACTCACTAACATCTAGTGGTAAAAATAAATGTATTTATTTCTGGAAGGAGGCTGCGGTCAGTCGGTACGCCCATAAAGGGAGCCCGCAGATCCTCCGCAGAAAACAAAAGGAAAAAAGAAAAGGCAAGATAAGGAATAAATAATAGGTGGGGAAGGGGGGGATGTCAGGAACGGGAAAACACACGTGCACATCAGTCACACGCTCAATTGCCCCCCAAGGAGTCGCATTGGTTATGATCTAGTAGACATAAGAACAACCCTCTTTCACGTTATAGCAGTAAATCCCGATAATAACAGACACAACACCCAGGGGAAAAAAGAAATCGGTATAACAATAAATGTTTTGTACGCCGCACAAATTCGGTATGACGTACTTACAATGCAGAGGTACAGAGCGATGGTGAGCCAATCATCTTCCAGGTTCTGCATAAACAAAAATATTACTTTAGCTTAATTAATCCGACGAAGCACTGTCAGTCGACTCCTTTGGCATTACGTCAACACAGACCCACCACGTACGACACGTCGATTATATTGACGGTGACGTTGGTAGTCTCGGAGCCATTGTTAACGGTGCGCTGGCTGGAGTCGTATCTGGACTGATCAAACAGCTTGGAACGAATATGTTGAATCTGCGCTACATACTCTTCTCGTACTGCCTCGTCTGAAAAGGGGAAACAAAAAAGTGAACGTCAAGTACAAGTGTGTTTTGTTGCTGTTTGCATTTCAATTCTACTCCATCTAATTTGGGAACCACAAATGGGCAACTTAACAACAAAATGTGTGTGGTGTATTTTTTTTTTTTTTTTGGGGGGGGGGGGGGGGGGGGGGGGGGGGCTGAATGAATTAGCCAGTATCACTGTCAGATTGGAAATTTTATTTTAGTAGGTTGTTCCAATATCTCTGATAATAATTATATCGATGGGTGAGCCGTAAAAAATAGTATAAAGGAAGCAGTTTTTTTCACCTCGTTTTCCCGGCATAAATATCGCCCCCTATAAAAAAAAAGTTTGTCGTATGATTGTTGTTTGTGTGGCGCTGCATTCAAGATCGTTTTAAGGTCCCTAGGTCGTTCCCACTCACCTGTCCCTCCTCCTCCCTCTTTTTGCGGTCTATTGTTCTGGCGCAATCACACGCGTTTAGCTAAACAACTGAGAGCAAGGTCGCAGCACACGACAGATGCCCAAAAACGCACAAGCAGGCAAATTTTAATCCAACCCCCCCCCCCCCCCCCTCCCCTCCCCAAGAAAAAAAAGCTTTGTCAGAAATGTTATTGAACTAGGGAAGCAATTAGAAAGTGGTATCATTCCTTTCTGCATCAGACGCGTAGCTTCTATCATCAACCTTTTGGGCAGTACTAACTGCAATTGTAATGAATTACTCCCTTTCGAAGCTAAGTGTAATCATAATTTAGAGAATGCTCATCAAATGCGCTCGTATGGTATCACTGCAGCTGCGATATGAGATGATGTTATCGTACGTTTGGACGACTGATAGAAACTGCGTTACTCGCCCTGGGCTAACCCATGGTCGTTGAGGGGAAAAAAAGTGATTATAGCTTACCACACGTTGCGTATCCAAGCTGCCAGCCAATCAGGGCGAAGATGGAGATCAGGTATGCCTTCATCTGGAGTAACCTACTATACAGACTCTGTGCAGTCTGAGGTTCGTACGAATTCAACCTCTTCGAGGGGCGGTGTTCCCTCGGACATCGGAGACGTTCTTTGGTGTATCGTTTGACGTTTCAAAATCTTTCTCCCGGTGGGCGTTTCTCCCGGTGGGCGTTACAGTTGTCTTTCAGAGCGCACCATATCGAATTTCGCCACTGGCAGGTCGATGAACTGGACGAATTAACCAACCAGCCCCGTTCCAAGAAGGTACGTATCATTTCGTGGAAACACGTTTCGTGGACAAGGTTTCATCGACGCACGCGCTTCGTCGGATATGGCCGATGAAACCCGTTGGGCCCCGGTTGAATGACCCCGGTCGAAATGACCCCGAACAAATTGTTCCCGGTCAAAATGGTACCAGTAAATTTTTGAAGTTCGAATCATCTTTAATGTTTGTAGTGAATTTCTACTCTGAAGGTTAATTGACACGCCTTCAGGGTATGTTTGAGTGCTTTAAAACAATTTTGTCATTATCATGCAGTCTTCTCTAAGAGTTCTTTAGTTTCCGAGTGTGTATATATATATATATATATATATATATATATATATATATATATACGCGTACGTGCTCCCGAGCCGAGGTTACCTTTCTTGACGTCACGGTCGTTGTGGTGGGAAGGGTCTAAAAACAAAACTTTACAGGAAGCCTACAGATAGCTTGAAATGTTTGCGTTACAACAGCTACCACCCCGCCGCTGTAAAACTAGTCGCGGAGGCCTGCGGTGTGACGGTCGGCGCGGTCGGCTGCCGACCAAAACCAGTTTTCGACTTCAGTGGCGCGACGTACAGCGCCGCAGAGCCAACCGCTGCTCGCCGCCCCTAGCCGCAGAAGAGAGGAGCCAATGGGAGGTGGCGTAGATAGTAACGTTGCGATGCCATGGCAACGCTCAAGCCGGTCCTCCGCGCGTCTTTCACGTTTGGAAGGACGTATACATATAGCGTTGTTTCGTGTCGTCTGTTATCACTATTTTTCCCGATGCCTTCCGCAACGGAGCGGTTCCTTGAAACTGTGCGACTTTTCCCCTTTTTATATGACAAGACGCAGCCAGATTACCTAGATAATGACGCTAAGAACAACCGCTGAGAAATTATAGCAGAGGAATTCGGAACTGCAAGTGAGTTTCTGCGTGGCACTTGTTGCATGTCGTCTGTGTTGTGACGGATGTTGTGTTGATTTGGTGACACTTTCGAAAGTACACTCTAAAAACTATCACACTGAACCTCACGCTAACCGCAAGTTTCAAGCGTGGAACCGCCGTCGATACCACGGGAATGCCGTTTTAAGCACCACGTGATCGAGAATAAGCGTTTGTTTTCTGTGTCCAAGCGTTAGAGCGCTCCGAGGAATCCCGCTCGGCCTTTTTTTCGGACGTGATGAACAGGGTTAGCGTGACGACCGCAAAACACACGCTTAGATTTTCGGAGAAACGCGTGCGCCTCCCATTCATCGTCACGCTAATATATATCCGAATGGATTGACCCTCCTGTAGAGGTGGTCGCCTTTATTAATTACTTTTTTTCGACCGACAGGACGGCATACCCCGCTCTGTTTTGTTTAGCCGCCTGACGGCGCTTCGGTCGGGAATGGGGAGGCGCTTTGGGAGTCGAGTGTCGCGTTTCAAGGGGTCCCGTGCCGTTACAAGTTGGAATTCTGCTTGTTGACGAGCTTTTCCCGGTATCGGGGAAATGGCCGCGGGCATGTCGCCCTCTTCGTTGCATTTCATGCGGAACCCCGGTTTTCGAACCCACGTGAAAACACTTAACTTGCCGACGAGAGGCTGCTGTCTCGGCGCCGCGTGCGTCTACCCATTGACCCTGAGACGCGAGGCCAGACGTAAAGGTTTGCCGGGGAACCCACGGCCGAGACATTAACATGTCACCGGTCACCAGGCCGTTTGCTGGGAGACAAAGTGCTTCAGAGCTCTCGGAGTCGTGTCTCGGAACCCTTCCGTGACGCCCGTAGACCAGGCGTTCCCGATATATTCTGCATATGCCTGGCGTGTCTTTCTTTTTACTTTGTTGCCAACGGCCTTTAGCGGTGGCATTGACGTGCCCCAGCCGACATGTCTGGGTGGTTCTCGCCGTTCGCGAATGCGCATCGTCTGTGGCAGATAGGAAAGCCATAAGTCGTATTTTATACTCCGCTTCTGAGAACCAAGGCTTGGCTTATGGTTCACTCCCGGAGCAATGACCTCTCACCCGATTAATCGAAAGTGTGTTGTGTGTAGGCGTTGTAGTTTGGTTTCTCTAGCCAATGGGACCATGGGTCGAACCCTGATCGGCCTAAATCGGTTCGAGCACGCTGTTTTAGACCCTGGCCGGACAGAGAAATCTTTGAGTTTTGGAACGGGCTCGTGAGCGACCCCACTGACGTTCAGCTCCCGCGGTGCGCCGCGTTACCTGTCGTGCGCGACAGCGACTTCGTCTTCGCGGCTACAAGGTAGTCGCCGTCCTTACCGTGCGCGGTAGGACCAACCGACGCCGAGGCGTCTGTGCAGTCTGTAAGATGTGCGCGGCAGTTTATTACAGTTCGTGCTTGTCTTTTATGTAACTGTTTGATTTTTTTTTTTTTTTTAAGTAAAGTTTTGTTGAACTCGTTAACCCTCCGAGTTGTCGGTCGCCTCTGCATCACCACCAACGCATCCAGCCCTCCAGCAACTACCTTCATCCACGATCCCCCGGTCCTCGACGGCAACGACAAGGGGGTCCATCGAGGTCGGGGAATACAACCTTACTTAACATCTACCCCTCCCGAAGATGCACTTGCGCGTGCTTTATTGTTGACTTTAGTTGATGTGAGCTTTTCTTTTCTGGAAGCACAGAGAGCGCATGCGTCGTTTTTTTTGGCAGGAAAAGCGAGAAAGCCTTTGCGCTGTTCCCGTTGCTGGCTGGCTCGCTCAGTCAGTTCCCGACAGGCTTTGTTTGTGGTTGGGGCTGGACCAGCTCGACTGACTACGATTGGCGAGACTTAGACGGCACGTCAGTTCGGGCACAGCGTGCCATGTTTACCGCACTTGACGTGCGTGGAGTGCAGCGGGGTCTCTGCAAAGACAGCCAGTGCGAGTGCCCCGAATTCCTGCGAAAGACGGAGCTGAATGCCAGCCAAGGAAAAAGCTTCCCATTTGGCTGGTGCATTTACTGCGGCCATTCGCCAGCAATTCATGGAAGACTACAATACTTGGGTAAGAACCCTGCTTTTGTTTGTCCCCCATTACTGTCTTTGTTCGCTGTTTTTTTTTTCTTTCTTATTTTGTTGTGAAAGCGCAAGTATCAAGTAGCAGAATCTCCACCGTATTGCTTTTGTCGAAGCGATGTGCTCTTCAGCATAACTGTCACATCTAGGAAACAGTTTTTGCGGCTTGTGATTGAGCGCAACATTGAGACAAATGTTGTTTATTCTGAAAGGTGAAGGGGTGAACCGTGCACGTTGGCGCGTAGTTGAGGTAGTCGGGCGAGCTTGTTCTCGGCTGTAGACACTGCAGTACATATAGGTGAGCTTGTTATTCCAAGTGTTGCATTGCTGCAGCAAAAACTTCAAAAGCATATTTTGCCTGAAGTCGCGCCTCTGCGTCGGTCTCCCGTGTTAAAAGTTCACGGTTTGGAATCGACGAACACCCAGAATATGGGTGAAGGAGGGAGTAGGTACGTGGCAATGTGGCAAGGGAAAAAGGGTCGGCAGCAAGAAAGAAGGGAAAGGGTACACAACGTTGCATTGTATAGGAGGAAAAAGGTCGTAGCGGTGAAGGAGGCGCAAAGAATCACGGTAACACCAGAAGCAGCCGCGTGAATCTTTGCATGTTTCGGTGCTTGCAGGCATGTTTCATTTTGGTTCTGATCGGCCTCAACCCAATCGTTTCTTTGAAATAAAGCTTTGCAGAAATATCGAGTTTTAGAGCGCAGCTCTTAGGCACCCGTTTCGGGCTTGAGCGGCGTCGCCGTCGGCGTAACCGTAACCGTAACGCGTCGGCGTAACGCTTTTTCGTGACGCGTCGCTGACGCCGTCGCCGTCGGCGTAGCCATAACGCGTCGGTGTAAAGCGTCGGCATGACGCGTCGCCGTCGGTGTAGCCGCGCGGCGCCTTATGGGAAACGTCACATAATGCACCGCGGTGACGTGCGCGTTGCATTATGGGACGTTTCCCATAAAGCGCCGCACGGGAAGGAGGAGGGAGGGGGATAGAGGAGAAGAAGGAGGGAGGAGGAGAGGAATATCGTTCCCTCCGTACCCTCCCCTCCTCCTTCTCAAAAGCTGCGCTCAAATTCGGCATTAGGCCTTTCATTTTTTTTTTTTTTTTCATCCGAGAGTTTTTGCATGCCTCGTTCGCAATAAATGACCACAGCATTGACAGCTCGCTTCATATTGGAGCAAGCATTGATGTGATTGGAATTTTCACTGCAATTGGTGTGCGATTTACATTTAACCTGAAAAAACAAGGCAGTGATAACACTGCATTTGACTTTAGTCGAAAAACGGGTCATAAATTCAGTGCACAGTTTGTGAAGTCACAGAAAATAAAGATGTGGTCGTGTTTCCTCTTGAGTAAGATAAATTCGCAAAAAGCAAATGTGCTGAAGTGGCCCGCTCTTCGTAGCTCAAGATCCTTCGATGCCTGGTCAGCAGACTGGGGCAGGACCACACTCTTGCGGAGGAAAACTGGAAGTCCAGACGGGCAATTCATTGCGATGTCCCAACCACCATAGATTGGGAAGTTAAAACTTTGTCTGTCTTCAGTAAAACCCAGTCTCGGGAAAATCCACGATGTTTACAAATTTAGCACGCAGCTATTCTCTTATCTGAGGCCAGTGCAGCATGTAAAATAAATTAAATATGTGTCTGGTACTTTAAAATGTGACTATTAATGACGCAACGAAAAAAAATGAGTTACGATCGTGCAGATTATTTTTGTTCGGGTTGGCTACTGTCGGCATGTTGGACAGTTATTTGATTAGAAATAATT